TCTGTGTGTGTGTGTGTGTGTGTGTGTGTGTGTGTGTGTGTGTGTGTGTGTGTGTGTGTGTGTGTGTGAGAGGTTATGTTCTGGATCCAATGAGCACCTGGAGACCACTAACCATGATCATATCAATAAAAGGACATCTGCTGTACGGCAAGAATGAAAGAAAGACCTGCACTGAAGGAAAGGAGGAAGAGGAGGAGGAAGAGGAGGAGGAGGAAGGAGAGAGTGTGTGGGGGAGGAAAAAGAGGAGGAGAAAGGGGGGAGCAAAGAAGTAGAAGAAGATGGAGGATGAACAAAGGAGAGGACGAGAGGAAGATGATTGAGAGGAAGAGGAGAGAAAGTGGATGGGGGATGACACAGAGGAAAAAGGAGGAAGAGGAAGGATGAACAAAGGAGAGGAAAAGAGAAAGACATGTGATGGAGAGAAGAAGAGGAAGAGGGTGAGAGAGGAGGAGAGATGGACAAAGGAAAGAGGAGACACCTTTGGAGAGGAGAACAAAATGGGAAGAATGGAAATAAAAAAGAGAAAAAGAAAAGAGAGAATTCACTTTTAAAAAGCAGAAGGGTAAATAAAATCAGAACTGGTTTGGAGACGCGAGGAATCTGCCTGGTACACGAACAATACAAGAAAACAAGAACAGATTAAAAAAGATATGAAAGACAGAAAGAGACGAGGAAAGTGGGTTCGAGTGGGGACAGGAGACATTAGCAGTTTTACATTGAGAGTAAAATACACAAAGATGTTTGCACTTTAGCTCCAAGGGCACTGACTACAGCCGGCACTCGAACAACAAAGATGTGTTTTTGAAAGACAAAACATGTTTTTCTTCCCTTAAAAAAAGTGCACTTGAGGTTTCCACGGACACATCAAAGTGATTTCCAAGGAGATGAAACAAAAGATCTTGAGTGTCCTAGAAAAAGCCCTGAACCTTACTCAGGGAAAACCAATCAACAACAACAACAACATATAAATAAATCTACTGGGGACATAACTAAGTAACACACAAGCTTCTATTGGCTAGCGCTCCAACACATTGTACGTGATAGGCTAAGGGGCGGGACATCTCTAAGCAGTTGACCAATCACAACAGAGGTGGCCAGCCAACCAATCAGAGCAGACTGGGCTCTGGTTTCAGACAGAGGGTGAAAAGAGGTGTTGCAGCACAGGCAGGATGAGAACAATAAAGAGCTTTTTAAACATTAAAGCATGGAGACACTACATACTGATATACACCTGAACATCAGCAGGAGAGGACTCTTTAAAGTAGAGACACTACATACTGATATACACCTGAACATCAGCAGGAGAGGACTCTTTAAAGTAGAGACACTA